CTATCACCATGACTTATCTCTATCATCATAACTCCATCATCATTGACCTCCATCATCATGACTTACCTCTATCATCATGACTTACCTCAATCATCATTACTTACCTCAATCATCATGACTTACCTCAATCATTATAACTTACCTCTATCATCATGACTTACCTCCATCATCATGACTTACCTCTATCATCATGACTTACCTCTATCATCATGACTTACCTCAATCATCATGACTTACCTCAATCATCATGACTTACCTCAATCATCATGACTTACCTCAATCATTATGACTTACCTCAATCATTATGACTTACCTCAATCATCATGACTTACCTTAATCATCATGACTTACCTTAATCATCATGACTTACCTCAATCATCATGACTTACCTCAATCATTATGACTTACCTCAATCATTATGACTTACCTCAATCATCATGACTTACCTCAATCATCATGACTTACCTCAATCATCATGACTTACCTCAATCATCATGACTTACCTCAATCATCATGACTTACCTCAATCATCATGCTTACCTTAATCATCATGACTTACCTCAATCATCATGACTTACCTCAATCATCATGACTTACCTCAATCATCATGACTTACCTCAATCATCATGACTTACCTCAATCATCATGACTTACCTCAATCATTATGACTTACCTCAATCATTATGACTTACCTCAATCATCATGACTTACTCAATCATCATGACTTACCTTAATCATCATGACTTACCTCAATCATCATGACTTACCTCAATCATTATGACTTACCTCAATCATTATGACTTACCTCAATCATCATGACTTACCTCAATCATCATGACTTACCTCAATCATCATGACTTACCTCAATCATCATGACTTACCTCAATCATCATGACTTACCTCAATCATTATGACTTACCTCAATCATCATGACTTACCTTAATCATCATGACTTACCTCAATCATCATGACTTACCTTAATCATCATGACTTACCTCAATCATCATGACTTACCTTAATCATCATGACTTACCTCAATCATCATGACTTACCTTAATCATCATGACTTACCTCAATCATCATGACTTACCTATTTCATAGTCTAGGACCTGTATAAGAAGTTTGTTTGCATTTCACTTAACGGAAGTTATCTCAACTTTTTTTGGGTATGACGAACAACATGGCATATGTGCCATTTGCTCAATCTGGAATGAAAGTCATAAAATTAAGACCCCCTGAAACGGCAAAGTCGACATAGCTCTAACATCCATAAAAAATAGCAATAACAATTCTGTAATGTTTATGGTGTTTAGAAGGTTCCCTTTTAGGGGTGTTCACGGGAGAAAAAATTTACGTAATGTAACGAAAAACATTGTATTTTAGTACCAATTGAAATATGAAAAGACTAGCTTTATCCGTAAGGAAAAACCTCACATAGCACATTAAGGATCTGAATTTAAAACACAGCTCTAAAAATAACATGTAGATCACGCGTAAGCTTCGTGAAATTCTGTCGCATGCTTCTTGACGGGGGAGTGATGTCTTTTCAATGCTGTATTTCTCTTGTGTGATACAATTGGATTTTATTTTTGAATTGAAAATTTGCGTAGGATTGAGATGCCTATAAAAACGTAAGCACATAGTTCAACCGTAGTGTGAAGTAGAAGGAAAACACTTTAGAATTGTTTATGTCAGTATTTTAATAAATGCGAAAACATCACTCCCCCGTCCTGAAGAATGCACTGCTTTTTACGAAGTTCGCACGTGATCTACATGTTAATTTGAGAGCTGTGTTTTGAATTCAGATAATGTGCTATTGGAGGTTTTTCACTTACGGATAAAGCTAATCTTTTTATTTTTTCAATTGTTACAAAAATACAATGTATATCGTTACGTTACTGCAATAATGATACTTATTAAGTCAATGAAGGGGGACTTATCGAGCAGAAAAGCAACGACACTTGACATTGGCGACACAACGCGTTGGCGCCGTTATTAACAGAATGTCCATACACGAAATATCCAAGATAAAAGACACTGCACTTAGCACTGCGTCCAAACTTGACCAAACTGGGGTAAAAATCTTATGCTGTCATCATTAATCCTGAAAATGTACAAGATTCGCCGAATACTTTTAAGATTCGGCTATAAAAAGCACACAAGACGGCAAAATATGGCTGAAATCGGGTTTAGGAGGAAGGTTTCGAAATATATTCTATGGTATGCCAGCAAAAACAATATAAAATGCTTGAAATAACGAATAATTGGAGTGAGTTGAGTGTGGTTTTTTATCCTATATGATTTTTTCTTTGAAAATATGAAAATTTCAATCTCTGCCAAGAATATTTGTTAATTTTTGCCTAATTGGCATTTGACCATAGCTGGTGTATGGTAATTTTCCCAGTAAATATTAAACTTATGTAAATTTTTCCTCCCATGACCATCTCTAAAAGGGAACCTTCTAAACACCATAAACATTACAAAATTTTTATTGCTATTTTTTTCTGGAAGTTAGAGCTATGTCGACACTGCTGTTTTAGGGGGTCTTAATTTTAGGACTTTCATCCCAGATTGAGCATATGGCACATTTGCCATGTTGTTTGTCATACTTAGTTTACCCAAAAACAGTTGATATAACTTCCGTTAAATGAAATGCATACAAACTCTTATACAGTTCCAAGACTATATCACAGTATAGGAATATACAGTAGGACCACTTCGCTGTGCAACTGGCTGCTGCATATTTTATTAGTTTACTTGCTGCCATTTGCCTTATCATCAATCTTATTGGTCATACAATGCAATTTATTGGCTGCCAATATGATGATCACATGCGTTATAAGATATGTGTGGCCTAAAAAAAATCAATAGAGTGGCCCTACTGTATGTTGTCTACTGTGAGTATATCATCCATTTTTTGTGCTTTTCATCACCATATACTCATTTCTCTTTTTAGGTCATATATGTAAAAGGCCTTTATTAAACAACAAACATAGTTTTCCAAACACCTCCTTTTCTGCCTCGTCCTCAACTATTAATCATCCTGCCAAAGATGCAAGAATTTCCAGCGGTAGCTCTTGGTGTGCTCCTGCTGCAAATGGCACTCATTATCTTGAACTGAATTTTGAAACACTATATGCAATCAACACTATCGTCATCTTTGGTGATAGTGTAAGCCCAAGTTGGGTATCTAGCTTTTACCTAAACGCTACATCTGATTTAATAAACTGGGAATCAGTTTTTTACCAAAATTCACAAAAGGTAAATAAAAAAAACTATGTTTGAAAATTGAATTCTCAATGTTATAAACAAGTGTATTTTAATATGTTACTGTACCCTTGAATCACTGTGCTTTGTCTTATCTTAGGTTTTTCCAGGCAACAAAAATGCTTACAATGACGCTGCTATCTCAAACATCACAGGTGGTATTAGAACGAGAGCTTTACGGATTATTCCGTTGAGTTACACTGGTCAACCATGTTTACGAACTGAAGTTTGTGGTGGAGGTAAATATAGATATGAATTTTTCAACACAAGAAGTACTAAGAATTCAATATATCTTGCTTGTAGTGTAAAGTGAAACAATTGATGACATACAAGTATTGTTAAGTGTTCTTGTGCTTTTCTTTAGATGTTAGGAATAAGCTTTTAAAGTCGTTCGATTGATTGGGGGCTTATTACAAAGTTTTAACGCACTATTAAACTTATTTTTGAACACAACGTGTGTAATATACGTTTATCTTAGTTTACATTCGGTTTAAATCAAAGAATGAGGTCAAAGCTTTGTGAACCATTCTATGTTTTTAATTAATCTGTGCATTGTGTTTACAAAATGTTGAAATTTCTTACAATGAAAGATATTTTCAAAAGACTAAGAAACTGTACTAAACATGATTATTCCAGCTCAAATTATCTTAAGCTCCAATTATCCTATTTCCACCTTAACCTTCGTCAACTGTCTTGGTAGAGGTCGTCTATTATCGAGTTAATCCCCAACCACGCCCATGACATCCTCTTTTTTGTTTTTTGCAGAGGATTTAACTGAAGTACTAAATACAACTTAGTTTGTCAACTCAAGTTAGGTCACGGGACTTAGCTCGATATTTTATGAAAAACTTTTTCTTAAGTGCCCTAGTTTTTGAAGTATGTGAATTAGTGAAGTACGAATGAATGCTTGAAAATCGCCAAAATATATGTTTAAACGATACAGCTAAAAACGATCCATAATATTGCTTGGTCTGCAGCCTTTATAAAGGTTTTAAACCAGACTATACGTAAAATCGAATTCAAAACTTAAAGAATGGGAAACAGCACATGATGTAACTGATTAATTGCAGTATGATCAATATAATTGCGTATATCATCAAAGTTTTGAAGTTAACGACAATGTAACGCTCGCGACAAAGAAGATCATCATGTCCATAAACATGTGCTTGCGTCAAAACATCACACAGGGAGAAATAGTTACACCTTGGAATTTTACAGAAATGTAACAACTTTTCCCTTTACAGAATTATACTTTATAATAATCCTCCATACTTAATGCACTAGGCCTTCATCCGTACTTCTTCCTTTCACATGCTTCTTAACTCAAAAAACACTTTTTCGTCAAATATTCAGTTAACCCTTACAACGGAAAGCACGTTAAACAAATATTTAGACGATCATAAAGCTATTGCTTTCGACAATCATCAAAATTAATCATCACCGTTTTAAGTGCAGTAACTCTAAGTTCCTAATATTCATAGCTTCGGGTGATTGCTGTAATATAGTAAAAGCACAGCTATAAAACGGCATGTTCTATGGCGTAAAAAGGGGGGCTTTTTATAGAGCTGATCTGGAAAAAATAAAGATTAAAACACTACAGTTATCACTTTTCTGTTTCACAAAAAGTTCTTTCATTTTAAGAAATTTCAGCATTTAATGACGTCAATGGTTTTTTTGACAATACTCGTGGTATGATTGGTCGATTTTTAAGACTCTGCTCGAGGAGATCCGTTGAGATCAACTTATAAACGTGAGCTAATGTGTTCATCAAATTTTTTTGGAAGGATTCTATTCCGCAACCGCACGTAACTATTACCCATCATTCAAACATGCAAAGATATCACATACGTATGTTCATTAACAGATAAATGTTTCAGTTTAGAACAATTACATAAAAAATCACTTAAAAATTTATTCGTAACAAGCAAAATTTAATTGTTTAGTTTTTATAAATATTATGAAGTCTTCAATTACAGAAGATTAAGAGTAGACATAAGTTTCATCATATTTTGGAGCAATTTTACGATCTGCCATTTTTTTAGATTTTTCTTGTACATAATTTCTGTAACTTTTACGATTATTTTCAAGTTTTCTGTACTCTCTTTTCTTCTTATAACTTTAAAATTTTATAAAACATGCTAAACTTGCGAGAATAACCACCTCAACTTATAATAACCGTTTCTTGTGGCTTTGTATAAACTCCATAAGACGCGTGGGGCATTTATAATTATATATGTATGGTGTATTAGCAAGCTCTTTTGCAATTTATTGCTTTTTACAGATCATAATTTGCACAAATTGACATTTGAATATAAGCTTCCCTTTCAACTTTCGAGCTTGGGCCAATGAAGATTCTTATTTTGGTACTATTAGTGTTTTACAATCACATAACGCATTAAATTGCGCTTGAAAGTAATCTTTCTTCTTTTTCGTAGAATTGCATCTAAACAGCCCGACCAATCTCCATGTCAATTCAACCGCTTCAAGATACGTTACAATATCCTGGGTAGACCCACAAAACGTTGCAGTATCTCTCAGTACAGGCCTCAAAAATCCTCTGACAAATTTTAAGTTTATTTTGAGGAAAAAAACAATGGTGATCTTTAACTTTGTTGAGCAAGCCAATGTTAGTAGACCTTACAAGTTGAGCAATCTTATTCCTAACACAATGTACACAGTTGAAATATTCGCTGGAAACTCGGAAGGCTTTGGAGATCCAGCAAATGCTTCTTTTCACACAAATGAAGATGGTAAGATTGTGTATTCTTTATGATGCATTTGGTGATTTACTATTCAATTTTGCTTTATACAGGCGACATGATATAGTTCATGTTGTTCACGTGCTGAATGGTGCCGCAATTAAAAATTAATCAATTACTGTCCTTGTTTTCCAATTGCACAAAAACTTTTAAAACATGTCAATGTATACCTGAGTATATATATTTTAAAAAATTATACTTCATGAATGCTGCTTTGACTCACGGGAACGGACAAAAATCACCCCAATTTTATTTTTCATATTGCTAAACCGAGATAAATCGCGCAAGGAACCTTGCATTTCTAATGTGACAATAAACTGAAATTTTCTTTACGTCAACAAAGAAAAATGTCAAGAACATTATTCTACTTTGTTCTATTTCTTCTGCCCTGTTTTCTTGACGATATGCAATACCTTGTAGAACTTAATTATAGCTTACAAATTTTGTAGAACTTAGCTAATTATAGCTTTATTTTGTTTTAGTTCCTGATGGTCCTCCTTTAAATGTAACAGTCGCTGTTGTTAATAGTTCATCGTTATCAATCACGTGGAAGCCACCTGATATAAGCAAGAGAAATGGGAAAATTATCAATTACACAATTTGTATTACACGATGGAAGAATGGGACGTGTTCAGGAAACTTTACTACGAAAAACCAAAATTTTATTGTAAATGACTTGAAACCAGCAACAACGTACTACATCAGCATTTTGGCCAGTACTATAATTGGTCGAGGAAATTACAGTGAAAATGAAATTGCAATAACAAATGAATGTAAGTTTTTTATTAAAACATTTTTCTTTTGCATTTTTCACTTAAATTTACCATTGATGGTTACGCCAATTGATGTATGTACTTGTTATATTTTAGTGCAGCCAGAAAAGCCTACTAATTTTACGGAAGAAACGTTGACGTTTTCTTTAAAGATTCCTGTTCAAGAATATGAGTGAGTTTGTATAAGTCAGTATGCGATGAGCTCTAATAAAGAAATAATTAAAATGATTGTTATTTGTTAATGGGAATTCTACAAAAGCAACGAGTAATTCATCAGTCGTGAATCCAATTTAATTCATTTTCCCTTTTATTTTCAGATTCTTCTATATTATTGCCATGGAAGGAGATGAAAAAAATCCCCCTCCACCTTCTAACTTCAGCAATGAAGACTTAATAAGGTATTCCACGCGCTCACAACCAAAGCTTTACATTGCTGCCGTGCTTAAAGTCAGCGGTGTTGACATGTTCGTGTTTATACTTGGTGATGGCTCAAATTCAAGTATTTCAAATCCACGAACACGACGATCTACAGATAGAGATTATAATAATCGTCCTCTAAGCCCCGATACTACTTATCGAATTTTCCAGCGAGTTATTGTGAATGATATGGTAATTGTCAAAATTTTGAGTGTTGTCTAGTTATATGTAATGATAGGTCATTTTTCCCCTCAAAATTTAATCCGCTTTTTAGGGTGTTTATTATTCAACTGATTGGAGTTACGCCGCAAGGACTGGGCCTTCAAGATCTGGATACACAACACTGCGTCCTTTAAGATCTGCATACACAACACTGCGTCCTTCAAGATCTGCATACACAACACTACGTCCTTCAAGATCTGCACATACAACACTACGTCCTTCAAGATCTGCACATACAACACTACGTTCAACTTCTAGTAGGGCTAACTATGTTTTTATTAAGAATGACGTTGATGCGTTAAGTTTTTGTTGATGATTTCATAATTTTCATTCATTACTTGAAAAAGCTTTCGTCAGAAACTTTAACAAAAACAATAGTCTTTACTGTTTGTTTAGATTCGTTAAAGTGCAACAAAGAAGACGGAAAGTTTTTACCGATTGTCATTGCCCTGGCTATTTGTTTACTATTGTCACTGACCGTTAACATTTATCAGTTATGTTATCGTCGTAAAAATATATCAAATAAAGATGAAAATCATGATAATAAAAAGCGACCAACAAATGTTTATGATGGTTCTGATATCCATGACAATAGTTATGAACATGTTGACGGCGACCAATCCTCATACATGTCGCTGAAAAGCACTGGAAGAAATGAAGACGACCATGTATACTGTCATTTAAATGAAGTTAGCAAGAACGAAAGCATTATGTAATGTATGTTGTTCGCATTTATCCATATTTCTTTAGAGTAATTTTCTGTAATTTTCATTGATATTTTGATTTCTGTAACCATTGTATGTGTTTTTATTTAGAACATTTCAACTCATTACTAGGGTAGTACAAATTTAAGCAGGCTAAAAACTAATTGATTTATTTGAAATACATTTGTGTTGATATCTAGACTACTTATTGTCTACATTGTTTGCTAAGCTCCTGAAATCACCCATTCGAATATGGGAGTTACTTTTTTGCAATGCTGCGCTTTGTTTACTTTCCATTCAGATCAATTAAATTTTCTGATAATTAGACTACTTGAAACTGAAAACTATTGCAAACATGTTTTATGATTTCTGCATAATTTTAGTATCATTTTTTACTCGAGTTTTTAGTATTGATCTTGCATACCTATATATGATTCAAATCTTAATGTTATTTTACAATTTATGTTTTATTTTATACTTACACCTCAGCGACCTTTTGCTGACTTAGACATACGCTTGTATTTTATAAGCGCTCTCACTCTCATCTTCACTAAGTGTGGTTACAAAATCACCTCGGCTTATTAATTAGACTGATTGTTTGATTCGACAAATTTCAGCAAAAATCTTGCCATTGATTGAGAAATGACTTTGCGTTGATTAGATAAAACAAGAGGTTGAATTAAGTTAGCGTGAGTGTTACTAACACAGGCTTGTAGAATTCGGGCGAAAGTGAGATGATTTAAGGAATTTCCATTCATTTTTCGATAATGTTTAATGTGAAGTGGGTTTATGAGTATTACTTATCTCATGAAAAATTTTGTTAAGGCAGATGGATAGCTGCAACTCTTGAAGTGCCAAAAGATCTAAAAAATTTCTAACAAATAATCTTGTCTGAGGGTGAATGGTTTTCGTTTTACATTGCTGTCGCTAATAATTTAGGTCGTGCGATAGACCGGGACTAGGTAAGTAGGTGGCTTATAATAGCAAAATAAATATAGCTGTTAGTGTTAAGTAATATGATACGTATTATGATATGAATAAATTAATTACAATGAATAGGAATATGATTAAGTTACAAAATTATAAAATATTTACAAAAAAGGAGAAAAGGAAAAAAAAAATTAAGTATTAAGAACTTATAACAAAAAATATTATTATAAAGTAAATATAGTGTTGTAGTGGTGAACTTGGATATTTAAATCGGGATTAGTTTTATTAATGTGTAGAGCTTCCTTGATTTTGAGTGAGAAAGTGGATTGATCAGTGTCGATGATTTTAAAACAGGAAGGTGAGAATTTGTTTTTACATGAAGGAGAGGCTTGAAGATGTTTGTAGATAGTGGAGTTTTTGTCTGTGTGAGTATGTTCCTTTATCCTGGTAGATAATTGGCGAGAAGTTTCACCAATATAGCGGGAATTACATCCCGCACATGAAAATTGATAAACTACCATAGATTTAGAAAGTTCGGGAAGTGGGTCTTTAAACGAAAATAAAGATTTTATTTTAAAAGGTGTGAAAATAAGTTTAACGTCAATGTCAGTGCAGTAGCGTTTAATGATTTGTGTGAGTTTGCGTTGTGTATGTCGTGAGTAATCACCTATGTAAGGTAGTTTGAAATAACGTTTATTGTCAGGTTGTTGTATATCGTTAGTGTTAGTTGTGGAGTTAGATGAGTCACTGCTTTTCTTGTTGTCCAAATAGTGTTGTATAGTGTTGTTGATGAAATGAAAAGGAAAAGAATTACGTTGAAGAGTGAATATTAGTTTCTTTAAATCACGTTGAAAGCCGATGTCTGTGTTATTAAGTTTCCGTGCTCTGTCGGTCAGTGTTCGTATCAGTCCAATTTTGTAATTTAATGGTGTGAAACTAAAAAAGTTAGTCAGTAGTCCTGTATATGTTGGTTTGTGGTATGTAGAGGTCATACAGTTTTCACGTGATTTAGTTAGTAAGATGTCAAGAAAGGGTAACTGATTGTCTTGTTCGGTTTCGTATGTAAAGTTTATGCTTTGATGTTGTTTGTTGATGTATTCGTAAAAGAGTAATGCTTCGTCTTTGTTATGAAAAATACAAAAAATGTCGTCAACGTATCTGCGGTAAAATAAAGGTTTGTTGTTGCTGTAGTTATTTAACCAGTTTCGAAGCATTACTCTTTTACGAATACATCAACAAACAACATCAAAGCATAAACTTTACATACGAAACCGAACAAGACAATCAGTTACCCTTTCTTGACATCTTACTAACTAAATCACATGAAAACTGTATGACCTCTACATACCACAAACCAACATATACAGGACTACTGACTAACTTTTTTAGTTTCACACCATTAAATTACAAAATTGGACTGATACGAACACTGACCGACAGAGCACGGAAACTTAATAACACAGACATCGGCTTTCAACGTGATTTAAAGAAACTAATATTCACTCTCCAACGTAATTCTTTTCCTTTTCATTTCATCAACAACACTATACAACACTATTTGGACAACAAGAAAAGCAGTGACTCATCTAACTCCACAACTAACACTAACGATATACAACAACCTGACAATAAACGTTATTTCAAACTACCATAGGTGATTACCACGACATACAACGCAAACTCACACAAATCATTAAACGCTACTGCACTGACATTGACGTTAAACTTATTTTCACACCTTTTAAAATAAATTTATTTTCGTTTAAAGACCCACTCCGAACTTTCTAAATCTATGGTAGTTTATCAATTTTCATGTGCGGATGTAATTCTGCTATATTGGTGAAACTTCTCAATTATCTACCAGGATAAAGGAACATACTCACACAGACAAAACTCCACTATCTACAAACATCTTCAAGCTCTCCTTCATAAAACAAATTCTCACCTTCCTGTTTTAAAATCATCGACACTGATCAATCCACTTTCTCACTCAAAATCAAGGAAGCTCTACACATTAATAAAACTAATCCCGATTTAAATATCCAAGTTCACCACTACAACACTATATTTACTTTATAATAATATTTTTGTTATAAGTTCTTAATACTTAATTTTTCTTTTCTCCTTTTGTAAATATTTTATAATTTTGTAACTTAATCATATTCTATTCATTGTAATTAATTTATTCATATCATATTACGTATCATATTACTTAACACTAACCATTCTGCACTGAAGATGGCATTCTGATAATGTCGAAACATGTTTGCTTTCAAAAAAATCGTCGTTTTTCTCAAGTGTTTTTTAAAATTGCTGCTAATTAGAAATTATGGTAATATTATCTACGACTTAGCACAAAATTATCATGGAAAGGTTTCCTTGTCGGATTTTCGAAATTATGAAAAGCTTACAACTAAGAAACGCAAGGCTGAACTTGATGTCGCCTTCCTTAAAGATTGCAATTCACTTGGAGTTTTTCCAAAGTTCCTGTGTTTTCCACTGCCTAATGTTTACAATCGAGATACATACCACATTCGAAAGCGTTTACTACGAACTACAATAACGAAGAGATCTAAAGAACTACGGACACTGGATAGGGACCTGACGAACAAAACAGAAGAAATCAAAAGTTTTCTTAACCCAATTGACTGGCATATCTTGAATAAAGCCCTCAAAAAGAATGTCGACAAACAACTAAACAAAATATTTTCGACACACCGTAAGAAACTAAATAATTTGACCAAAAACAAGGCTATACCATTCACTCATAAAGACACTGTCACCAACCTATCATCTGTAAAGCTAAGTGAAGATGAACTTAACGCTCTAAAAAACGGTCTCAACTTCAGCATCAAACCTCCAAAAATCCACTCCTCCGACATTCTGGCAACATTCGAACGAATCCACTATTCATTAAGAAATAAACTTATCAAACAAGAGGACTATTCAATACTAAAAACGGAACTTGGTCACTTGGCACACACGTACGTAACTTCCTACCATCCAACTCCTAAAGACCTGAAGAAACATAAAATTCTAAGGAACATTCGTAATAATGACAAAATCATTGTTCTTAAACCTGACAAAGGCAATGGTGTAGTCATTATGGATCGTCAGGTATACATTAACTCTTGCCTCACTATAATTAACAATTTATCTAAGTTCAAACCACTCGATCATGATCCTACAATTTCCCGTGAAGCAAAGTTACAACGACTGCTACGTAACTTAAAGAAAAAGAACTCTATTAACGAAAAATCATTTCAAGAAATGTACCCTAGAGGTTCACAGCCAGCTCGATTATATGGTTTACCTAAACTTCATAAATTAAACAATATCAATGACATACCTCCTATCAGACCTATAAATTCTTCAATCAATTCGTATAACTACAAATTAGCCAAATACCTCAGCTCTTTACTCCAACCCTAATACCTAATGACCATTCTGCTAAAGATTCTTTTAGTTTTGTCGATGATTTTTATCTTTTAACACTAACGCTCCACATGACAAATTCTTTATTTCTTTTGACGTTGAAAGCCTTTTACCAACATACCACTGACCGAAACCATAGACATTGCTATTGATTTAATTTTACCAACAACCCTACATTCAAAATGAACAGAACAGAACTAAAACTATTGTTTAACATCACTACGGCCGAGACTCATTTTTATTTAACGGTAAGTACTACGACCAAATTGACGGGGTAAGTATGGGCTCACCCTTGGCACCCATTCTAGCCAACATTTTCATGGGTTTTCACGAACGAAACTGGTTAAATAACTACAGCAACAACAAACCTTTATTTTACCGCAGATACGTTGACGACATTTTTTTGTATTTTTCATAACAAAGACGAAGCATTACTCTTTTACGAATACATCAACAAACAACATCAAAGCATAAACTTTACATACGAAACCGAACAAGACAATCAGTTACCCTTTCTTGACATCTTACTAACTAAATCACATGAAAACTGTATGACCTCTACGTACCACAAACCAACATATACAGGACTACTGACTAACTTTTTTTAGTTTCACACCATTAAATTACAAAATTGGACTGATACGAACACTGACCGACAGAGCACGGAAACTTAACAACACAGACATCGGCTTTCAACGTGATTTAAAGAAACTAATATTCACTCTCCAACGTAATTCTTTTCCTTTTCATTTCATCAACAACACTATACAACACTATTTGGACAACAAGAAAAGCACTGACTCATCTAACTCCACAACTAACACTAACGATATACAACAACCTGACAATAAACGTTATTTCAAACTACCTTACATAGGTGATTACTCACGACACACACAACGCAAACTCACACAAATCATTAAACGCTACTGCACTGACATTGACGTTAAACTTATTTTCACACCTTTTAAAATAAAATCTTTATTTTCGTTTAAAGACCCACTTCCCGAACTTTCCAAATCTATGGTAGTTTATCAATTTTCATGTGCGGGATGTAATTCCCGCTATATTGGTGAAACTTCTCGCCAATTATCTACCAGGATAAAGGAACATACTCACACAGACAAAACTCCACTATCTACAAACATCTTCAAGCCTCTCCTTCATGTAAAACAAATTCTCACCTTCCTGTTTTAAAATCATCGACACTGATCAATCCACTTTCTCACTCAAAATCAAGGAAGCTCTACACATTAATAAAACTAATCCCGATTTAAATATCCAAGTTCACCACTACAACACTATATTTACTTTATAATAATATTTTTGTTATAAGTTCTTAATACTTATTTTTCTTTTCCTTTTTTGTAAATATTTTATATTTAGTAACTGAATCATAATCCTATTCATTGTAATTAATTTATTCATATCATATTACGTATCATATTACTTAACACTAACCATTCTGCACTGAAGATGGCATTCTGATAATATCGAAACATGTTTGCTTTCAAAAAAATCGTCGTTTTTCTCAAGTGTTTTTTAAAATTGCTGCTAATTAGAAATTATGGAAATATAGCTGTCTCGTTAAGTATTCCTTAATGTTTGAAAGAATAATACACAAAGAACTCCAATAAACTTTTTATCCTAACATTTATAATTTTAGAGTTCACAAGCTAAATACACATCACAACAATTATCTGAAATATATTTTAGCTACTTTCAAGTAGCTAAGATATATGACGAAGAGAAAGTATACGTGTTTTGTTGCAATTTTCCACTTTTAAACAGTCTTTTGGTTGAAATACAAGCACAAGACATAAAGACAGATAGATTATCTGAAAAATTTTAAGTTAGAGAAATTAAACAGGTACGCTAAAGCATAGCAGAAACAGAAAAGTGCAGTGTAACAGACATGAGATATCATCATATTTGAGATCTTTTTAGAATACAAACTACGGCATTAACTTTGTCCATAAAGGCAAGTATTTATATGGAAATGCGGCAAGTGCGTTTATATGGAAAAATTCATCCCGCCTAGCCGGGTAACTCGCTTACACAAACCGAGTTCCCGGCAAGACGAGTTACTCGGATGTGTCATATAAACGATTCACCGGGAAATGCATTCATGTTATATAAGGGCCGAGTTACCCGGCTCGGCGAGTAACTTGCTCAGCCGGGTAACTCGGCTTCATATAAACAGGCCCTTTGAAGGCTTAAGTTTGCAATGTATGTACACTGCATATCTTAAAGTATATGTCTCATGAAAGAAGTATTATTGGAAGAACATTATGGTCAAAGAAAAATTGGTTTGTCAAACCGACTCACTCTTTCTATTTGGAAGGGCTACAGGAAAAGCAACCGAGTTTTACTCTGCAAATTTATTTGCAAAATTATCATGTAAATATAACAAATGCGTTTATTGCTTTTAAGTGAAATAACCAAAATCTATATACAACAAGAATGGGTAGTACTAAAATCTTTATACAACAAGTGTTCAAAGGTTTGTGCTATAAAACATAGCAAAATTACAAAAGCAGGTATTACGCATTTGGGAAAGTTTTGAAATACAGTTATTTTCTACATAACCTTAATTGGTTAACATTTAAACAAATGGCGAAGAATTGCCATTAGATTAAAGGTTCTTTTCTATACGTTCAACAGGGATTAGTGGGTGGAACTATAGAAATAAAACGATTAAAAGAACGCGTTCTTTCCCAAAGTTAGTATTGAAAAAATTTGTCTTCTAGCTATCGATACTATCCATATATAGCATCAAATTGCACAGTTTTCAGCTATTCTGTTTTACATAAACATAATTCAATTTTTCGCATCAATGATCTGCTTTGAAAGTATTTGAAATATCCAATATGTTTACTTCCGTGGTATTTGACAAACGTCTATCTTAGCAATAGCTGTAATATGATAACTCTAGTTCGAATTCTACGTTTTTAAGCGGGTGGATGATGACAAAAATCAGTAAGTTTTTGTACACGCTATTTGTCGGAGTTGTTTTGCTCCTTTCTATAAAAGGTAGGTGATTTGAAAGTTAAATGTTTATGTCGTCGCTACACACAATTTATCATTGCTCAGCTATTTTATGTAACCAGTTGTTGTTTTATCTTATATGTTATGAAAATTTGTCGACAGTAGTTTTGCAGTCTTGTGTGTCATTTGAAAAAATGCCAGTTTTTTAAGTTCCCACTTATTTTTAAAGTTAAACGACATGATGTATAAATAAAAATATTATAAAAGTGGCCTTTAGTTTGTGTTGATTTTCTCACAATGGCAGGAAGAATTGTAACAATAAAGCTGTAATAGCGTAAATGTATTTTTTAATTTGATACTTGAAGTTCTATAAAGACTGGTTGTCATATGATTTTATCAGCAAAAGATTAACCAGGCATTCGAGGAAGCCGATAAATCTCCTTTTTGCAAATGTTTAGACTTGACTCATCAAATTTTATTCGTCATCTTCAATTTTTATCGACTTAATTTCAGCTTGAAGCGTGTCTGAAATATAATATTTTGTTTATTTCCTCAAATGCTGATTAATGGTGCTAAATTGCTTTGGCAAATTCATTAGCAAATATGCGGAAATAGAAAACATGGTTTTTATGGGTAGCAACGCGCGCATGCGTGGCTAACCACTATGTTATACTGCAAAAAGTAGAACGGCCGATGGAACGAACGATTTCCAAGTCATTGACCTCTATGACTGAACTGGATTTAGCATAAACTATATAATTTTCTAAATTTGTTTCGTTTACGCTAGAATAGTGCAGTAATGTCCCTTGTTTATACTGACAATGGTGAAGCCCGAATAGTTGAAAATTTAAAACAATTGCTAGCCATCGCAAACATGAAGTGCATTTTGTTTCATTGAATAATCCGTGAGCTTGAAGCAACGTACTTGCATTCGGTCTAGTTATGTGCATGTACACTCTGTGACTCTTGTGACTGGTCACGGTGCTTTCATATTTTTAGTGAATAAAACGTAAAGAAAAAAGCAAATAAATGTGTTTTACGAGTCTTAAATACACTAACTAATCTTAAAGTTGTAGTTTCACATGAAGTAAATGAATTTAAAGTGCGACGCATTGTTTATCAATTGCTTGGTTCACTCTTGTCACTGTTTATGTGCTTTTGTGTTAAATTAAAGACAAAAAGCTATTTCTTCTTTTTTTGTTTTGATACATAATAACAAATAATATCTGACATTCTCTATGAGGATTTAGAACATACCAAAATTACTATGAACATTAACTCAAAATACATGTTAAACCGAGTCAAACTATGAGCAGGAAATACAATTAAATACGAAATGTTTGCTCTGGTCACTTTCAATGTTCTAAAAATTTGCTTGTTAAAAGCGAATTGTCAACATTATTTGTAATTAGTACAGAGTATTTTTAATAATGCTATGGGAAAAGACAAAAGAGCTCGGCTCTCTGGTCAAAAATTAACGAACATAACTAGTCATACAAAAGACCGCAGAGGTCATGGGTTCGAATCCCGTTGAGTCACCTGAATTTTTCAGGTTGATGAGACAATTGCTTAAATTGTCCCACAAAGTGCGAAGATCATATCTACATTTAATTTAATGAACATAACAAGTGTCGCATTAATGCAAATAAATACATGTCATATCGTGATTGTTGATTTATCGGTTGGGGGGAACGTATCACAGGTCATAGACACATATCATAGACGCGCAAGAAAATTATTTTTGTAAAACAAACTTTTAACGATTTACTATTTATATCAAAAGCATGGTTTTCAGTAACATTTTGAACCGATATATTTATAATTTCGTGTGAAGTCACATTTATTGCAACTTTACGATGTAAGCACGTAAGCTATGTCGCGTGCAATGTAATATATGCATGAATGTTCTACACATGTGCCAATGAATGTTCTAATAATCGCAGTTATCTTATGGTCCGTTTTAGTGACAAAAAGTAGGAAATGTTAAATGCCTAAGCCGTGAAATTATCTTTGCTCAGCTATTTCATGTTATTTGATGTATGAGCATAACTCAGTTTTCTAGAAAGTCAAATTATAAATAATTGGTCGATGTCTAGATTTCCCATGCTTGTTGCTTGAACAAAATTTGTAAAAACTAGATTAAGCAGTTTGTGTTGATTTTCTCCCGATTGCGCAAACAGCACATTGATTATGAGAAATTTAAAAATATTGTAAAAAATCTTAAAGGTATAAAATTGTATGAATGTTTTTGATATTTTATTTGAAGTTTTATAATGACATGTATAATCTGACGTGATTTGTCGTTACATTTCAGCAAGATTAACCTTACTTAATTACTGTTAATTACTGAAGATATTTTTTATTTATATAGACATATTTTGACTTAATTTTTTATATTATCTTTCATTTCTTATTCACACAGAAGCCCGATACCTAGAATATTCACTAATATAACATAATATTATTGCTTTCGGATTTATTCATCGTCAAATAAACGGAAGTAGCCTAAAAAACACTGATTTTGACAAAAATGAGAATGTATCGTTTCCGGAAAACTCGAGGAGGCTCCATACAGTTCACCCGAGTTTTGGGTGTTTCAGATAGCCTTCACTTACAACAATATTTTCATCAAACTCACTCAATTTTGGAAATATGAACTACGCAGGAATATTCAAAAATCCCAGTAAAGTCTAAAGATGCTTGAATAGGATAGCTGTTTGCGTTGTTATGGCAACCATGTCTCTTTTCTTCATTTTCTTTTACCCTTTATCGTTTAGTTTTTAAAGAATCGACCATATCTTTTTTCGGTTTTGTGAAATTTTCTGATTTTTTGCGTGGCGATTGTTATTCATTCATAAAGCATTTTGTTTAAGCATAATGCAGAAGGAATTCTGTAAATAATCTTTTGAGATATTTCAAAAATTCGGCTGTATGATAACTTATTTGTAGATTTTGTTCTATTTTGTGTATGTTATATTTTTTGTTGTGATAAGCATCAACACGAACTTTTAACAAAATTTACCGAAGGAAAAAAAAACTTCAACAAAGTCAGCACAGCCAGGCGTTTGTTTAAAAAAGTCCATTCGACATGAGCACAATATGCGCATGCGAATTGTCACCAGTCTACTGCTAAGTAACTGTAGGGAGCCTCCTTAAAAAAAAATTCTAGGCTTACTTGCACCGAACAAACCCGTTTTCACATACTGCATAATTGTTTAATTTTTTGTTCAAAAGAAAGTCGGCTACTTCTGTTTCACTTATAGAATTTTTAATTCCGGAAAATCCTATTTTTAACTAATTATTTTTTATTTCTTCCTTAATTATCAAATACTTTCTTGAAATACCAGGATATCAAATCCAGGATAATCAAAATCGTCAACAATTGCACGTTTTCCTGACTTCAAGACTCTTTGACTTTTTAAGTTATGAGTTGTGGAGAAATAAAACTTAACTTTCACTTGTAGTTAATACAATATTATGATCATGGTTCTTTCATAGCACTATACAATACATTTAAACTGTTTCTGTAACTTTCTTTTTAATATCAACGAGTTGATATGTCGCCAAAATTTTCCTAAATTAAGTTAAAGGTGACAATTAATTCAACGAGTTTACAAATCTTTGCGAATATTAGTTTATTGAAGATTTAATTTAATGGTAATGTAATTTTGCATTTCATTTGCAAAGTGCCATAATCGCAACAATGTTTGATATGTGTTTTGATATACGTACCCCCATGTTCTTCTATAGAAATAAAAACGTGTATAATTGAACAAACTAACACATCAATAAAAAGGTCGCTGTGCAAGTTGCTTCAAATTTCTCGACGAAAGTTTCAAATTTGCAAGCCATCTAAACAGTAATTTTCAAATTAAATTGGGCAGAGATATAAATTAATCATAAACGGCTGCAACGACAAACATAAGCATACTTGTCATTAAACTCTGCACTTCTAGAAAAATTAGCTCAATACCCTTGCGTGTTGTAGTTAATGAAACACATTACAGAAAAGTGATATTCTGATAGTGACGTAAAAAACAAGTCATAAGTTTGATCCTGTTATGCAAATTTCTCTGTGTTTACTAACTGCAAAAGCAATTAGGTTGGAAAAATAGACAATAATAATGATATAAAACTAACATAACAGGATCAAAAACATGCAGACTGGTTAGATGCTACTATCAACATTCCATAATTTGTCATGTACGTTGCACGATATATTCGTAAGTTTTATTTTCGAATCAAATGTTAATAAAACCTAACCCTTTGTAACAATCCCAAAGTGTCAATCACGTGAAATGCACGCGATCCACAACAACAAAACAAAAAAAACAAATGTTCATAACACGCCCGACGTTGATCATTTTGATCAATTTATTTCCACGAGTTTTTACTATTTGACTGTCGCAATAGGTCTCCAATCAAGGCTACAGTTCTTCGTTGTCGGGTTTTCATAGAGTTTTCGTCTTTAGATTCAATTCCACTAGTGGTTTCGGGAACCACGGTATTTGTTGAAGGCATATTCTACTCAAGTGGTATCAGTTGTTGTATTGGACGACGTAGTTCTGACGATCGAGCCTTTTTAGTACTTGCAACACGGACTTTGCTGCTCGAACAACACCATCCTTACTTACTATGAGCTCGGTAACTCTTGCCAATTTCCACAAAATTCAAGGGAAAAGACCATTTTTTAACACAACAACATCACCGACAGCTAAATTCTCCTTCTGTGCTCGATGAAGTAAGCGTGAAGTCTTTATGACACTTAAAAGATATTCCGTTCTCTAACGATTAATAAATTACGTTTCAACGATCTAACAGACGTTTCTGATATTTCGCATTTCTGGTTAGAGTTCGATTCGTACTGATTATTTCAAATTGTCGATCACTAGCTGTAAGAGTAAGTTGCCGTCCGTAAATTAATTGAGATGGAGTCAGAGAGTAAGAAATTCCTTCTTCGTCATCATAGATATATGTAAGTGGACGATTGTTAATAGTAGCCTCGATTTCTACCAAAATGGTTGTAAGCGCTTTAAAATCCATTGAGGATCGATCGAGAGTTTTCTTCAAACATATCTTTGTACTCTGTATCATTCGTTTGTAAAATCCTCCTTACCAAGGTGCCTTTTCAATGATAAATTCCCAATTGAAAAGCTTGGAAGCCAGTTCGCGTTGTATGTCAGTTGATCTCAGTATATAAGCAACTTCCCTTGAGGCACTTTTGAAGGTCTTCGCATTGTCTGATATTAGTCTAGATGGCAAACCTCTTCGTGAGACAAACCTTCGGAAAGCTTGCAGAAACGATAACACAGACAAACAACACACACGTTTAAAATGAACCGTTAAAGTGGAGGCACAAGTGAACAAACAGATAAATATCTTATCCAATCCTTGATTGTTAGAAGCGTATAAGGGGCCTGCAAAGTCAATACCGGTGTTTGAAAAGGGAGGCTCTTCGCTTACTCGACGCGAAGGCAAACACGCTTCCTTCGCTGTTGGGAAAGCTTTACTTTCGAATTTCTTGCATGTGGCACATCTACGTATAACGCACTCTTAAACACGTAAGATCCAGTATTTTCCTCTAACGAATTCAGAGTTTCTCTAACTCCGTGGTGTACTATATTGCGACAGTCGCGTATAATTAATTTCGAAAATGTATGCTTATTGGGCAACAAAATAGCCTTTTTTGCACTATCAGGTATTGTACAGTGGTCAATTCGACCTTCACACCGAATAATCTGATCATCATCGAGAAAAAAACCAAGTTGCTGAACTCGTACATTTTTACGACCGGCTCGAATACATTGTAACTCGTCAGAAAACGCGGCTGACTGAATATACTTCGGATCCATAATCTCTGAGCTTCGAGTAGCTCATTAGCATTCAACTCAGACGTAGCAGAGCATAGTTGCTTTCTTGATTTCTTGATAAACCTTAAAATTTATGGTGTGACGCGAAGTAATTTGTTCTTCGTACCATATATGTCTTGGTCAAGAATCTTCTCCAAGTGGATGCATTTACGGTCAGGAAACGATGTTAACGTCAAGGAATGTGCTATTGGAAGAGGATTTTGTATTATCTCTGTGTAGCAACGGTTCTCATCCAATTTTGTAAGTTGAAGATCTTCGGGCCATTTGTCTTCAGTATCTTGGAGAAACTACGGACCATTCCACCAGATTCCAGATTGCACAAGTTCACTTCCCGAACACCCACGAGAAGGCAAGTCGACAGAATTTATTACCCCAGGGCAGTGTCTCCATTTATAACTACTAGTTAACTTTCTGATTTCGTTTACGCGGTTTTGTAAATACGATTTTCACAGTTTATGATTTTGAAACTAACACAATGTGGTAAATGAATCCGTCCATAGAAAAATATCAGTGATACATTATATTGAATTCAACGCTTTCAGAATCGAATCGACTAATCTTGCTAAGGTAGTTGCGCCTAATAATTCAAGTCATGGTATGATCTGTCATTTGATAGGAGCGATTCTTGTTTTGGCTGCTATTAAATTCACTTCAATTTCACCGTTTTTATGTTCCGTTCGTAGATATACAACTGCTACAAATCCATGTATCTGATGAATCAGAGATGAATCGTATCCACCATGGAAGTAACAACGCGGTACTCGTATATCACTTAAAGCTCTTAAGTTGTGAACGAGAGAATTCCAACGTGATAAGGCCTTGCCAGACAGATCTTCATCCCAAATACTGCCAGAAGAGCAGAGGGTTTAAAACAACATCTTCATAGTGATAGTAAAGGGTGCAAGAAGGCCAATAGGATCGAATGTCTTCGCAGATAGCTTTAAAACTGACCTCTTAGTTGCAGGAAGTGATTTTGCATAATGCACCATCTCTTCAAGATCATAGCAAAGCTCGTCGCTGCTCTCATCCCAGCTGATTCCTAAAATTTTGATACGGTTCTCTTAAGATGTGGACTTAGGATGTGGCTCTGTATGAGGCGAAGGAGTTTTTAATAACTTGTCTTCCACCATCGTACTTGGTTTATGTTCAACATATGATGACCCCTTTTCATTTCCCACCTTAACAAACGGTCGACCTTCATCATTCGCGATAACAATTTGGACATGTTGCGAGTTTGAATGCCATTTTCGAAGCTTGAATCCTCCCTCGCTCATTAAAATTCGAGATTTATGATGGATGTATAGAGCTTCGTTCTCATTAGAAGCTCCACCAGCGAAATCGTGAACATATAACGACTCGATTAATAAGGAGACTATTTCTGGATCGACATTTTTTTATTTCGAAACGTGGTGACGAATAACAGTAGATAATATGGCAGGACAGGTTTAGACCAAATGGTAGGCGTCAGAACTTGTATTCGTTTAGCATCGGGTGTATTCCTTTGTCAATATCGTCAAACAAAGAAACTTCAACATCTTTCTGTCTTTGTGAGCAATTTGTATTTGATGAAAAGCCTTTTCAATGTCGGCAACAAGCCCAATGGAGAAGTCTCCAAAGTTTATCGTAGTGTCAAATAAACGTGGAACCAAATTTGGTCCCTTCTCGAGGAAGTCATTGAGTGACTGGTATTCCTTAGTAGTTCTTGCCGAACCATCAAAAACCACGCGAAGTTTTGTAGTTTCTTTATCTTCTTGAAGTACGCCCTGATGGGGTTGGAAATAACCGGTTTCATGTGCAACAGTAACTGGGTCAATAATTACTCTTTTCACTTGATCATTGATAATTGTATCGTATTCTTGCAATAAGGGTTTATCTTTATCAAGACGAGATTTCAACTGGTTTTAAACACATACCCTAACAGTCTCATTTTTGGAATACATTCCCCCTTCCAAGGTAAGTTTACTTCATATCTCCCTTCATCCTCCAAATATTGTATATACTTCCGAAACTCCTGATCCTGTGATTCGCTGGATTCTTTGAATCCAATTGATTCGATCTCCCAAAACCGTTTCAAGCATTCATTTAATTTGGGTTCTCTTTTGTCAAACGGAACTTCTTTTGAAAAGCAGTAACCTTCGATGATTAAATTAACGTTTGACAATTTCGAATTAGTTTCACTATCATTCGTCTGCCCAGTGATAGTCCATCCAAATTCACTATTAATAGCAACTGGACCACCTTCACTTCTTATAATATTGCCTGTCATGATATCGAAATAATAATCTGCTCCAATTAAACTGTCGATATTGTTGTCTGTCTGTCGTCCAGAGAGGATATTGGTATCGGAAAGCTGCAACTCCATCAGATGAGGATAATGATTGAGATCAATTGTCGTTGTTAATGGAGAGCAAATATTTGGGAAGCAAAGAGCTGTTATGATTCCATTTCCATTCTTTCCTTTTAGGGACAAATGAACCAAGTCGCATTTTTGCTTTGTAAAATGTCGGTTGCCAAAGGTATTTAAGTTAACAACTTCTCTTCTGATGGGAACTAGTCCAAGCCAATTTTTTAATGAATTCGTAACGTAAGTGCGCTGACTACCACTGTCTAAAAGCACGCGACCACGTATCGCAATGGAAGCATTCCCGACGTTGGCGTATGTAAAAGCTGTTTGCAGAAGAACTTGATTACGCGTTTTTGCCGTATTCGTCGTTAAGTAATTATCTCCATCAATCATAGTAGCTGTGCGAACGTTGTTTCCTTCCTTGGTTTCTGGTGGGTTGTTTCCAATGGGGGAAAGTTTGGGATTATTTGCATCCTTTTGTTGAGGAGGCGTAAAACTTGACTTAATCACTTCACAAATCGATTGATAATAAGCCCCATGACAACGTTTACAATTCTTCTTTGACTGGAGTTCACTTAGTATTTTTAGTTTCACTTCGAGTTGTTGTGCGATGATTTCGCTACGTTCTACAAGATCATCATGTGGTGATTGTGATAACAATTCAACTGACTCTTTCTCGAGTTTTGTACACACTCTGCGATATCCTCTTCTTCTTACACGAAGCCTTTCCAGCTTTTCCTTCTCTTCAGTCGACATTTTCGTAAGAAACGAAATATGGGCGACTTTATTTCGTTAAAACCGCCCCACGTTGGGCGCCATGTGATGCACGTCGCACGATTTTTTCGTAAGTTTTATTTTCGAATCAAATGTTAATAACAACCCAACCTCTTTGTAACAATCCCTATAGTATCAATCACGTGAAATCCACGCGATCCACAACAACAAAACAAAAACAAACCAAATGTTCATCACACAATTCACTACAAGGTGCTTTAATTTTTATACAATGTAACTAACTTACAAAAACTTTGTTTTTCAAACCAAAAAGAATAAACGTTGCTTCAACAAGTCACGTTTATTGAAAAAATAATTGAGAATTAATTCCACCCCTAGCATTATATGAACACTTTTGATTAATTATAAGCTTATAAACTTTTCTCTGAATCGTATTATAGGTGTTCAGTATCAATAACTATTTTTAAAGAACTATTATTTTCGATATTATATTAAATATCAAATTGCGAACTATTTTTATCATTTATCAATGTTCTTTTTTTCAGAAACAAATGGATTTTTCATTAAACATGTTCTATCAGGAAAGTGTATCTATGATACTGGGGTAGAGTATTCAAGATATCCTAGAAACAACAACCCAATTCACCTTACTTATTATCTGAACCTTACTAAGAACTGTTTTGACTCAACAGCTCAGTTTAAATTTCATCAATCTGGCTCCATATTAAAACCGAATAGAGAAGGTTGTCTTGTGGGAGAAAGAGACTTCAAAAAGTTGTTTTTGATATACGAAAAGAAAGGTGACATTGCTGCTGCATGCAATGACGCAAACGCTTTAAACCAAACTTTTCAAGGTGGAATATTTACTTCCAATATGTACTTTAATGATTGCGCAGTACCTCCAGGATATATTAAAAGTCAAGTCTACATGGGAATAGCCAAATGTAATGGTGAAGAAGATCAGCGATTTCATTTTGGTAAGTAAGAGTTTTTGTCCAATGAGTGCAAAAAATTAAACTCTTATTGAAAACCACCACAAATCCTAATCTATTTAGGGATGGTGTCTACATGCTAGGTCATCGTCATCTGAAACTTTATCTTCATCAGATTCAAATTTGCGTTTACAGGATTTTACAGATAAACGCATACCGATTGTATTTTTTTTGTTTTTTTGTATAGGTTCAGTGACATGTTCTGGACAAAAGATAGCGAACACTAATTGCTCTAATAATCAATATATGGTAGTAAAAAAGGCTGAATATCGTGGGTTGAGTAAAGGAAGCTCTTGTGGCTCAAGTTATAACTACAGTTGTAGTGTTGATGTAACATGTGACCTTAAAAATTACTGTGATGGTGGAAGAAAATGTGATATATCTGTTGATGATAATCATTTTCCTTCGAATATTTGTCCTGATTTGAACAAGTATCTTTACTTTGAATATCAATGTAACGACACAAGTACGCCACACAGAGAAATTTGTAACTGTAAGTATATTATATAGGCAGATTTTATTTGGCTCGCAAAATTGACCTTAATATAGAATTAATTTCATGGTTAATATTGTTTATATCATCACACACAAAACAAAGAAACTTTTTGAGTTTCTGTTTGGTGTATTTACAAGGAGTAATGTATTATTTAAGCTTGAAACATAATACGATCCTCAGGACAATTTTAAGTGTTAGGTCATTCTTCTATTAAATATTAGAGTTCTTCCAATGGAAATTTCCATTAATTTTCATATGTCCTACAAATAATAAAATGTTGATTCATACAGTTATCTCTTCTTGAACTGTCTTCGTATTTCTTTTTGAAAATAATTATGCCAGTTTAGGTTTGCTAAACAATTTAATTTACAATTTCATTTGCATTTATGTCGTCATGAATCCATTCAGCAAAATGTTTATATACTTATTTACAATTGTATAATTATGTGACGGCGCAAAACGCAATTTTCGCCTGTAAGTTAAAGATGTTCATGTTTTCATTGTATGATTATTAATAATAGGACACGTTTATCTAGATTTGGGTAAGACGCTATGCAGTAGAACTATACGATATTATTGATCAATATGAACTTCCTCATATTTTATTTTATCCTCTTGAGTAAGACTGTAGACATGTTAGTAATATCAATAATTCACGTGACAGGTCTCAGTAGTCTAAAGAATAACACACACACTCCATGCATCTTAAAAAATTTATTCTGGTTTTTATTTCTTAAAAAACAAAGACACATAACTCTGCTTTAATAAACTTTATGATCAGTCCAATTTAAAATTATTTTTATTTATGTAGTTGAGAACGTACATTTGTCTCAGTCAATTTTGCCAAACAAAGGTGTCGTGGATGTTATTACAAAGTTTAGAAACTTCACCATCTGTAACAATGGTCTTTTGGCTGAAGTAAAAACCACTGTCTGTAATCGATTTGGTTATCCTAGTGCACTATATATAGATAGCTGGACGTCAACACCAACATCAGTTAATCATTTTTTTACACCTGGAAATGTCGCGTGTGGTGCTCAAGTTAATGATTTATTCCAATGTTCAATAACTCAAAACAAAAGTTGTTCTCAATACTTGTATGTGACATGTAAGCATTCTCATTACTTCTAATTAGCATAATATTATGTTGTAGAACATACATCTTCAGCGTTAGCAAAATTTGGAGCTAAAGAATCATGTTGTCTAAACTAACTATCACCATGACTTTTATTATCACCATAACTTATCTCTAACAAAATGGGTAACCTCTATCGTCATGACTCACCTCTATCATCATGACTTAAATCTATCATCATGACTTACCTCTATCATCATGACTTATCTCTATCATCATGACTTACTTCTATCTTCATGGCATACCTCTATCATCATGACTTACCTCTATTATCATGACTTATCTCTATTATCATGACTTATCTCTATCATCATGACTTATCTCTATCATCATGACTTATCTCTATCATCATGACTTACCTCTATCATCATGACTTACCTCTATTATCATGACTTATCTCTATTATCATGACTTATCTCTATCAT